GTGGGCTCTCGACGCTCTCTTTGCAGCCAGAGTACCGCAAGTGTTTCATGCCGGTAGCGGAGTTGGCGAGGCGGCAAAACCACCTAGAGGTGCACTACTTGGCGACGCAAACAGACGGCGCGCTCGAGTACAACCGCGGCGTTTTCGAAATGCTGGTGAACAGCGAGCGCGCGAACCTGTCGAACTCGGCGGTGTTCTCGTCGCACATCGCCGACAAGAAGGCGATGCGCCAGATGTTTGCAGAGCACTTTTTCGAGGAGCTCGGCGGAAAAAAGATTTTGCCGATTCCCAACGCGAGTCTGGCTTTGTACGGCTGCGGGCGCGTCAGCGGGGTGTCCATCGAGTTGGCGCTGCAGTCGACGGTGATAAGCCTGGTGCACAGCGGCATGGTGTTGGAAGATTCTGTGCGCGTCGTGCAGAGCACGGGGCAGCAGTTCTACGATAAGTTCGCCGCACTTGCGCAGATCGAGCCGCCGTTTATGGCGGAAGGCGCAGACAACGGCGCATTGCATGAGTCGTACGTGCGCGCGGCGCGCGTGAGCGCAGCAACTGCGCGCTTGGAGGAGCTGCACGCAGCGGCGCCGCAACTGCCCGACGGCGCGGAGCTCGCGAGCCAGGCGTTCATAGAGACGTACGCGCAGCCGAAGATGCTGACGCACCAGCTGCAAGCGAGTCTGAAGGCGGTAAAGGCGCAGACGACCGCGGAAATTCTGAGCACGTTGGTGCTGCACGGCGACGTCGGCGAGCGCGTTGCGTACTTGGCAGACCAGGCACTCGCGGAGGCATTACAGCAGAGCGCGTTTGAAGGCCTGTCGTTCGTCTCCTACGCGCAGTGGCAGGAACTCGTGAACAAGCAGAAAACGGTGCCACAGAAATACTGGCGGGTGCTGACGCGCAGCGACGCGGGCTGGAAGGGCGCGAGCATCGCCGGATGCATTAACTCGCTCGACGAGATCAACATCAGCAGAGACATGTACTTCGAGCACGGTGAAAGTGTGTGGGACATAATGGCGCTGAACTAAAACTGCGCCGCCTGCAAGCAGTCGCGGCTGCTTGCGCAGCAGCGGAAAGTGGCATTGCTCTTCACGATGAAACTGCGGCAGCGCGGCTACAGCAGCGCGGCTACAGCAGCGCGCTGTAGAGCACAACGGAGACGGCGCGGCTAAACGTGCGATCTTGGCCGAGCAGTTAGAACAACGCGGCCTGCGTCATGATGGCGGCGAACTCGTTGACGTCGACTGCGTGCGAAGCGCAGAAACTTACTAGCGCCGTCCATGTTGCGGTCGAACTCGTCAATCATGCTTTTCAGTTCTTCGTCAGTCAAGTCTTCGCCGAGGTGTGCGGCGACGCGACGCAACTTGTCGACGGTGATGTAGCCGCTATCGTCGTCGTCGAAAAGCTTGAACGCAAGACTGATCTCTTCGAGCGGGTCGCGGTTGAGCATCTTCTCGGTCATCACAGTCATGTAGTCTGGGAAGCCGATGAAGCCGCTGTTCTGCGTATCGTACGTCTTCATGATCTCCGCGATGTTTTGCTTGGTGACTTCGAAGCCGAGCGCCTTTAAAATCGTTCGGAGCTCGTGGTAGTCGATGCGCCCGCGCTTCCCTTCGTCGAACAAGTCAAAGGCTGCGTGTGCGGCCGGCACACTTACCTTCTTTCAGCTCGTGCTTCTGCTCTTCGGTGAGCTCCGCCTTGCCGCGACTCGGTCTCGCGGACAGCTTCTTCGAGTACACGCCGGGCAGCATTGCGAGCTCGTTGCGGGGCAGAGGCAATTACTAAAAGAACAAACAAATTTTTGACAAAAATAGCGTCGCTGCGCGGCGCAGCGAGCGCGGGCGCGCGTGTCGCGACGAACTGTGCCGCGCGCGCTGGCGTGCGGAACACGCAAAGGGCGAGTCGCGGCGAAATTAGCGCGGCACGATGCAATAATAATTTACATTTCTGAAATTTGCGATGACGAGTTCGGCGGAGCTCTCCCACAAAGGTGCGACCGCTTCTGCTGAGCCTCCCGAGCTGCCTACAACGGCGTCCGCGGAGGCGCGAACCGTGAATCGCTGGTACTTGCCGAGTCTGCCAAACAGCGGCGGTGAGAACCCGCTGCTGCTGCTAGGCACTCGCGCGCCGCGGCGCTGCTACCTAGTCGAAATGCAGTTTCGACGGCTCTTGAAGGCGTGCGACATGAAGTACTGCCCGCGCACGGCGCGGCTGTGCCGCACGCGACACCTGTTCTGCGACGCCGCAGCTGTTCCGTCGAACTTCAAGCCCGCAGCGAGCCGACACATCAAGAACTTCTCGCTGCTCGACAGCAAAATGCTGGTGGACCTCATCTGCGAAGACGTGGGCAACACCAGCTCCTCGAAGAAAAACAAGCCCAGCGCTGCGGCGCGCAGCAGCGCTGAGAAACGCGGCAGTTCGCCGCTCGCGGCTGTCGCGCGCGCAAGCGAGCCGACAGGCCCGCTGCTCAACGAGGAAGAAGAGTTCGAGCACGAACTCGAGCGCGCGCTGAAGGAGCACGAAGATCACGACGAGCCGCTGTTTTCGCACAGCTTCTCGCAGAACCTGCACTGCTCCGCCAGCGAGCTCGGGCGGCTATTCACCGCGCAGCTGCTCGCCGCGCCCGCTAGCGAGCGGCGCACCGCGGTGCTCTCGATGCTCGACGCACAAAACGTCGCACTGCAGTCGCTGAGCGGGTTCGACCCAGTGCGCGACAGCAAAGAAAACTTTTTGCAATCCCTCGACTACAACGGCGTGCTGGAGGCGACGCGCATCGACCAGCCCGGGAGCGACCTGTTCATGCGCGCGCTGCCGCGCGCGGCTGGCGGACTCGGCTTCAGCCACATCATTGAGAACCTCTTTTTGTTGAACACGCCAAAGGTCAGCAGCGAGCTGCTCGCGCAGACCATCAAAAAGCTGGGCTACGCAACGGACGCTGAGGCGCAGAAGAAGTTACGCAAGTCAAAGCCCGCGCTCAGCTCGCTGTGCACGCTCGAGCTCGCGGCCGGACTCTCGACGGTTTTCTGCATCGGCAGCGACGACTGTTATCACTTCCGCTACGACTACTTCACACTCTTCCTCGACAGCGAGCTGATCCACTTGTACCAGAGTCTCATCGCGCACTCGAACTCGAATTACGTGAGCGTCCGCGACTTGATCAAGATGCTACACTACCTAAAGGCGTTCTGGGAGCACTCTCTGATGAAGTCGTCGGTGAACGCTCTCTGCTTGAACGCGGTGCTACAGTACGTAGGCCAGGACAATTTTGCTGCCGTTTTTAGGAAGGAAAATTCTCCGCCGTTCGATTTAGATATTTTAGAGGCCG